CCGTTTCGACTCCGAACCGAGCAGGCCCTGCGCGCTCGGTATCCCACGGGGGGGGGAGGGGGGATAACGAGTGCGCGGGCCCACGCTTTGATGCCAGTGTGTTGCGTCCCTAGGGGTAGACGAAGCGTGGCCCCCCGACGAAGCGTGGCCCCCCAGGGGCAAACCCAGGGCCCCAGGGACAGCCGCACCCCACCGAGAGCATGCCGCGAGGGAGGGAGGGCTAGGGGGCAGGCGGGAGGGGAGGGGCGGAGGGGGGGGGGGGCGGAGGAGAGGAGAGACACGGGGGGGGACAGTCGGGGAGGGCAGGGCTGCAACCGGGGAGGAGCGGGCAGGAGGGAGGGAAGGGCATGGGCAGCGCAGAGGGTTTTCCAGATTCCTTCTGCTTCGCTCCTCCTCCTCGCTCCTCCTCCTCCTCCTCCTCCTCCTCCTCCTCCTCCTCCTCCCCCTCCTCCTCCTCCTCCTCCTCCTCCTCCTCCTCCCCGCCACCTCCTCCTCCTCCTCCTCCTCCTCCTCCTCCTACCTCCTCCACCTCCTCCTCCTCCTCCTCCTACCTCCTCCTCCTCCTCCTCCTCCTCCTCCTCCTCCTCCTCCTCCTCCTCCTCCTCCTCCTCCTCCTCCTCCTCTTCCTCCTCCTCCTCCCTCTCCTCCTCCTCCACCTCCCCCGCCTCCTCCGATGGCAAACAATTGGAGGAGGAGGAGGAGGAGGAGGAGGAGGAGGAGGAGGTCTGCAACAGCCTGTGATCGGCGGCCGCCCTCCGCCGAGGATTGGACGGTCCTCGCCGACGAGCTAGCTATGACGGGCTGCAGGGAGCCCCCGCCGCCGCCGTTGCCGCCGCCGCCGTTGCCGCCGTCGCCGTCGCTGCCGCCGCCGCCGCCGCCGCCGCCCAGCACGGGCGAGCATAGGTCTTGAGCGCTTCGACGGGAGATTCCCGAGGCGAGCAATGCGTAGTTCTGTTGCTCCCGACGTCAATGGATGATGAATGAAACTCCGCAGCCCGCTTCTCTCCCCCTCCCCCCCGCATCCCGCCCAGAAGAGGCGCCGCGGCCCGCTGGCCGCGGCTGCGACGCCCACGACGACCATGACTACGAAGCCGACGCCGAAGGCGACCAGTCCGACGACGAACTACAGCCATAACCGCCGACGGCAATTGCGACGACGACGGCGAGGACGAGTCCGACGACACCGTCGGGTCCTCCATCCCACTCCGCACCCCCTCCATCCCGACTGCTCTGGTGGACGGCGCCGCGCCTGGTAATTTTTCGACTGCCCGCCATGGGCCCTGGGCGCATGGGTTGCCGCGCGCTATCGTTTTTGTTATCCCTTGCCTGTTCCTCCCTTCTCGCCCTGCGCGGTGGCAGAAGATGGCAGGCTGCCCAGGGGGCCCAGGGCACATCAACTGCCGCCCGCTGCTTCGTCCTCCCCTCCTCCCTCCTCGTGCCGCATGTTCCAGCCGCAGCACGTGCGCAACGTTCGGGGCACGCGGAGAGCGTGCCAGGTGCGCCTGCGCACGTGGCAGGACACATCGGGAAACGTGTCGGCCACCCCACCTTTGTCGCAAACCAGGTCGCAATCGCGGCAGGGTGGCCATCATAGCGTCTGGTTGGCCTGCACATAGTCGGCAAAATGCCAGCACCCCCGCTGTCCCAGTCAAAAACCAATGCACAGTGATCGCGGGGTGCCCGCGCATGATCCAGATTGTGCGCCGAAGTGTATACATATAGCGACGCACCGGGCTCGGGGGCCAAGGGCTGAAACCTCGACCGCAAATGTGGGTCCCGGGCCCGGGGCCCGCCTTTGGGAGGCTTAAAATCGCCCCGGGGAGCCCTCAGACAGCAATCGCGTCGGCCCCAGACGGTCTCGAGACACCCAAGACGCCGTCCAGGGGTCTCTGGCGGTGCACGATGCGTTTTAACCGGCCCCGGAGGCCCCCAAGACGCCCCTAAAGGCCTTTAAGATGCCGCCCAAGAGCGCCCCGAGGGGACAAAATCGTTGATTCTCATTTTTTTTATAATGTGTTTTGCATTATCGTTGTTTCGTGTTCCAGGCGCTAAAGCACCGCCCACAAGGCTCCCAAAACCATTCTGAGACAGCCCAAGAGGCCCCCAAGAGGGCTCCAAGACGGCCCAAGAGAGCCTCGAGACGGCCCCAGAGCCGCCCAAAACGGCGCAAGAGGGTCCCAAGAAGGCCCCGAGAGGGGCCCAAGAGAGGGAACTCGATTTGAAAAATCAAGCTCTCCGCCCCAAGATGCCCCCAACAGGCCCCAAGAGGCCCCCAGGAAGCCCCGAAGAGGCCCCAAGAGGCTCCCGAGAGGCCCCAAGAGGCCCCCAAGAAGCCCAAAAGAGGCTCCAATAGGCCCCAAGACGACCTCCAGACGGCCCAAGAGGCCCCCAAGATACCCAAGAGGCTTCCAAGAGGTCTCCCAACAGAGCTCGAAGATGCCAAAAACACATGCATGTTCCATAGATGTTTGAACACTTTTGGCGTTTCCGCCTTTTCCGCTTCCCGACGCTGCAAAATGCTCCGTGAGGCTCCGAGGATCGCCCCAAGACGGCCCAATAGGCTTCACAAGCGCCCCAAGACGGCCCAATAGGCTTCAAAGGCGCCGAAGAGACGTCCAAGACGGCCCGAGAGGGCCCCGACCGCGGCCCACGATCGGGAACGTGAACCGAGAACCCGAGATCTGCGCCCCAGGAGACCCCCAAGGAGGCTTTAAGCGGTCCCCAAGAAGCCCCAAGGAGGTCCAAATGAGCCCCGAGAGAGGCCGCGAGGTCACTTGAGAAAAACGTGATGTCCAACATTTGCTTCGAAGTTCGCCTGGCAGGTTCGCTACGCTTGTCAAAAGGGAAATATAATGTTCGATCCTCCTCCTCCTCCTCCTCTTTCTCTTCATCCGGTTTCTCCTCCTCTGCGACCTCTTCCACCCTCTCCAACTCCTCCTCATCCTCCTCCTCCTTCTCCCCCAGGGAAACCCTCCACCTCCCCGTCTCCTCCATCTTCCTCTGGCTACGTCCAGCCGCGGCGAATAAAAGGGCCCCCGAAGTACCCTTTGAGCCTGTCTTAATCAAGACGTCGTGGGTGGACCGTAGGAAATCTTGTAAGCCGCTTCGGCCGCCTTCGTGGTTCTTGGAAGCACCGGAGAAGAAGTGTCATGGAATAGAGATCCCCAAGAGTTCGACCATCCAGCCTAGCTAGATCTTGAGCGCGCCCGAAGCGCGCGCGATGGTTCGAGTATTTTGCATTCCCCAACCATCTTGTCGTGATGGATCCTCGTTGTGACGAGACATCGCCTCGCGTCACTCACTCCTCCTCCTCCCCCTCCTTCTTGCTCCCCCTCCTCCTCCTCCTCCCTCCTCCCCTCCCTGTCTTTGCTCCCCGCGTGCCCATACACCCCTCACACGTTTCGTGCCCCATAGGGAGCTGCACCGAAGGCCCCAATGGGAAAGTTCGTACGGCACCGCCGCTCCATGTCGTCACACCCCTCACACGTTCCGTGGCCCCACGGGGAGCTGCATCGAAGGCCTTAGTGGGAACATTCGCATGGCACCGCTGCCCCATTTCGGCACACCCCTCACACGCTTCGTGGCCCCATAGGGAGATACACCCAAGGCCCCAGTGAGAAAGGACTCATGGTACCGCCGCCCCACGTCGGCACACACCTCACACGCTTCGTGGCCCCATAGAGAGCTCCGCCGAAGGCCCAAGTAGCAAAGTTCGCATGGCACCGCCGCCTCATTTCGGCAGACACCTCACACGTTCCGTGGCCCCACAGGGAGCTGCACCGAAGGCCCTAGTGGGAAAGTTCGCATGGCACTGCCGCCCCGTTTCGGCACACCCCTCGCACGTTTCGTGGCCCCACAGGGAGCTCCACTTGAGGTTCCAGTGGGAAAGTTCGCACGGCACCGCCGCCCCATTTCGGCACACCTCTCACACGCTTCGTTGCTCCATAGGGAGCTCCACCTGAGGTCCCAATGGGAAAGTTCGCACGGCACCGCCGCCCCATTTCGGCACACCCCTCACGCTTCGTGGCTCCATAGGGAGCTCCACAGAAGGCCCCAATGGCTACGTTCGCAGGCGGCCTTCCGATTTATTCATGCGCACCCTTCAGACGTTTTCGTGGCAGAAGGCTCTACCGCGTGCGCTACTCGGAGTTTGCGCGCCCCCCTCCTTCGTCCCATCTCCCTCGCGGCACTCGCAGCCGCATATGGTTGGGTCTTTCGTCAGGCGATTGTCTTTTGTGAACCATCATTCGATTTCGGGTCATCGTTTTGAAGAGACATCGCCGCGCGTCCTCTCACCTCCTCCCGCCCTCCTCCCTCCTCCCTCCTCCCTCCTCCGCGCCCCTGCTCTCCGCGGCTGCACTCGCATGCGGCTGCCCCACCCAGTACAGCGCTTCGTGGCCCCATACTGAGCTCCACCGAGGGCCCCAGTGGGAAAGTTCGCAGGGCACCGCCGCTTCCTTCAACACACTCCTCACACGCTTTGTTGCCCCATTAGAGGGCCCCACTGGGCAAGCTCGCATGGCACCGCCGCCGCAGTCCGGCACACCCCTCGCAGGCTTCGTAGCCCCATAGGGAGCTACACCGAGGGCCCACGTGGGAAAGTTTGCATGGCACCGCGCCGCCTCATTTCGGCAGACACCTCACACGCTTTGCGACCCTACAGGGAGCCCCCCACTTAAGGGTACAGTGGGACAGTTCGCATGCGTCCCCCCCACCAAGCAAAACGCTTCGTGGCCCGATGGGGAGCTCCACCGAAGGCCCCAATGGCGGTGTCCTCATGCGTTTCCACCACCCAGTACATCGTTTCGTGGAGGGAGCTCCACCGAAGGCTGCAGTGGCGGTGTCTGCATGCGCCTCCCCCGCCCCGTGTCATAGGGAGCTCCACCGCAGGCCCCAGTGGCAATGTTCTCATGCGCGTCCCCCGCCCAGTGCAGCGCGTCGTGGCCTCATAGGGAGCCCCACCGAAGGCCCCAGTGGCGGTGTTGTCATGCGTCTCCCCCACCCAGTACAGCGCCTCGTGGCCCTATAGGGAGCTCCACCGCAGGCCCCAGTGGCGGTGTTCGCATGCGTCTCCCCCTCTCCGTACATCGCTTGGTGGCCCCATAGGGAACTCCACCGATGGTTCCAGCGTCGACGTTCCCATGGCGGCCCCGCTCCATGTCGGCACACACACACACACACACGCACACCATGCGTTTCGCGGCCCCATATGGGGCGCCACCGGAGGCCCCAATGGCTGCGCCCGTGTGCGTCCCTGCCCCATTTTTGTACATGGTTTCCACGCTTCGTGGCCCCATGAAGAGATCCACCGAAGGTGGTACCCACAAAGGCGACACTCACAACTGCATTTGGTTGGGCCCAGCGCGCAAAGATAATTTGACTGGGATGCTGGCCCTGCGCGCAGCAGGCAATACGCGGGCACCTCCGCCGCCCTTGCCAAGTACCCTGCGACGTACCCAGCCCATCGACCTAAAGGGAAAATATAAGGCATACCGGCAATAGTGCGACAGCAACATTACAAGAAACGAGTGCAGGGGAATAGTTATTTCGTGCGAAGCGTGCGCATCGGCAGAAGCAGCGAGACGATAGAGCATGGGCAAGATGAGGCTCCACATGCGGAAGCGCGACCAGACAATGACGTGTCGCGTCCGTCAATGCCGCAATGTTCAACACCTGCGCGGCCAGCGCTCCGCGCTGCTATAGCGCCTTTGAATATCAAAAACTCCCGCTATTAGTGTAAGAAGCGGTCAAGGCTTAGCTCGCCCGCCAGCCCCTGCGCCTCTTAGTGCGAGTCCCAAACGCGCGCAGGCGCGCCGTCAGGTCTGCGGGCGGCCCGCGGGAAAGGAAATCAAGCCCAGGGTCGCGTATCATCAGCGGGTTGTCCACCGTGGTCGCTTTCGAGAGCATCACGTAGAGATGCAGCCAGAGCGCGTCCAAATCGCCCGCGTCCTTGCACCCGGCGTCGATGATGACTCCGTTGCGCATGGTCCGGCCCGGGCAGACCGTGAACGCGAGAACCTCGACGTTCGAAATGCCCAGCCCGGCGCGCGTGGCCTTCTTCCTGCGACAGTCGAACGGGCTCGAGGTCTGCGGCTCGATGACAACGAGGCGATGCTAGCATCGAGCTCCCCCAGCTTTTTGCCGCAGCGGCCCGCCATGCGCACCCACAGTCCGTACGGAAGGTTGCGCAGGTCAGCGGGGCGTCGCTCGGCCTTCGCTGCTTCCGCCTCGTCCTCCTCCACGGGGTTGACGGCCGCGTGCACGACCTCGCCTTCGGCGCCCTTCACGAGCACTCTCTCGAGATCCAAGTGCTCCAGCAGGTGCACGTGCTTGCTGACGCGCAGGGGCTGCATCCCGGGATTGCCGCCAGTGACTTCCGGATGCACTTGGTCCACCAGCTCAGCGGCCAGGCCGACATGAAATGGAGGCGTGGACGAGTCGGCAGCCTGGACGACGTACAGCATTTGCTTGAGAGACGTGCCATTTCTCCTCGCGCGCATCATCATTCACCAAGCCACTGTGTCCCAGAACCAGGCGATCATTTGTCCCGCTTGGGTTTGCGTGGGGCCCCACTGCGCGGGCTCCCCCAGCAACCTTCGAAAGTGGCGACGTTTTCGCACTGGGCAGCTCCATAGGAATGGCGAGGTTCCGTTTGGGTTTGCGTGGGGCCCCCCTGTGCGGGTTCCCTTGGCGATTTTGAAAGTGGCGACAGTTTCACACTTCGCAGCCCCCTCCAGGGATGGCCAGGGACCGTTTGGGTCTGCGTGGGGCTCCCCAAGCAACCCTCGAAAATGGCGAAGGCCTCGCACTTCGTAGCCCCCCAGGGATGGCGAGGTCCCGTTCGGGTCTGCGTTGGATGCAACTGTGCGCCCCCACCAGCCCTCGAAAGCGGCGGCGGTCTCACACTTCGCAGCCCCCCTGGGATGGAGAGGTCCCGTTCGGGTCTGCGTTGGACGCAATTGCGCGGGTTCCCCCAACAGCCCTCGAAAGTGGCGAGAGTTTAACACTCTGCAGCCCCCCGTGGATCACGAGGTTCTGTTTGGGTCTGCGTGGGGCCCCAGCGTGTTGTCCCCCAGCGGGCATGTGCAGGCAGGCGCAAGCAGGCGAGCGGGGGACAGAGGGAGGGAGGAGGAGTAAAGGGGAGTTGGCACCCCACTGCTCAATTCAGAACGAGAACCCAACCAAGGGAAAGGCAGGCGACAGACCACCCAGGCAGGACAGCGAGGCAGGAGTCATGCAAGCAGGCAGGTGCAGGCAGTCGAGATGGGGACAGAGAGCGGAAGGAGGAACGGAGGACTAGAGACCCCACTGCTTCTTTCAAAATGAAAACACAACCAAGGGAGGGTTGGGACGAAAGCAATACAAAATGCTTGCACCACCACCCCGATCATGGCCCAAGATTTTGCCCCAAAGTGGACGTCTCATTGTTGTTTGACAGGGATGGTGGGGGTGGGTCTCATTGGTCCTGGTTGGCTGCCGGTCGCCTGGGGGAGGAGGTCTCTACTAACAGGGAACAGTGCTGTGCTGTTCCCCGAGCAGGGGGCGGAGGGAGCGTTAGCAGAGAGGAATCAAAATTGTTGAATTTCCTACGCTCGGAGGGCTGGTGATATTCCATCGTCCCACCCCGTTCCAATTCCAACTTGAGTATCAAGCGTTGAAGATCATTCGTGCAGGCCCCCGGTACAGTTTCAATGGCAACATGATGCGCGTTTTTGGTGATGCAGGCTGCAACGCACAGTGCGTCTCGATTCGTCACATCGCAGGGCTCAGGGGTCCCAATATAGGACACGTTCCCAGACGTGCACCAGATTCTGGACCACTCCTCGGGCCCTCCCCCTGGAGGGCTATCCTTCGGAACTGTTTGTGAATTCGTTCGTCTTACACGGGCACGGCGCTTCAGGAGAAGTCCGTCTACGTTTTTGTGTTTGTTATGTTGTGCTTCCCTTTCTGCCATCTGCTGCTTCTGCTGTGGTCGCTGGTGCTTTCGCTGCGCGTTCCCCCCTGCGTGTCTCTTCTGCTGCTGTTCCGTTGTGCCTTTGCTGTTGTTGCTGCTGGTGGCTCGATTGCCCTTCGCTGTGGCTTCCTGTTCACAGACCCCGATCAGCTCGGGCATGCGTTGGCTCGCACAGGGTCGGGTGCGCTGAGTTTTGAGTTGGCAGCCCCGCCTCTCTTGTTTGCCCTCTGCTGCGAGAGAGCGCCTCTCTCTCTTTCCGCGGCCCGCGCCGCCCGCTCGCCCCCATCGGACAAGCACCAGGAGGAAAGGAAACACACAGACACAATTAATCCTCGATTCCCCAGAAAATATGGGAACATATGGGAAGTGGGGGGGAAGACAGGAACCCAGAAAATGTGGGAAAATATGGGGAATGCTTTTATTTGTGTGTATTTATTTGTGTGTCCTGGGGCCCCTTTAAAGCACCTCGGCGGGATGCTGCTGCCGCCTCCCCTCTCTCTCGCCGCGGGTCGCAGAAGTCCGCCTGGGGTGTGCCGCCGGTGGAGCTCCGACCCCGCGTCGCGCTGTTGTTGTGTGCTGCGCGGCCGTGTTTTTTTTTTTTTGCTGTGGAGCACACCTGATAGGAGGAGGGGGAGGGGGAGGGGGAGGGGGAGGGGGGAGGAGGAGGAGGAGGAGGAGGAGGAGGAGGAGGAGGAGGAGGAGGAGGAGCACACCGGATGCGACTAGGCTGTGGGTGCGCACGTCGGCTCCACGGTTTTTTGTTGGCCATCGCCTGCGTCGGGGTCCTGACGAGTTCGAGCGTACCTTCGCCCATGCTTGCCGCCGCCGCCGCTCTCTTGGTGGCCCCCCGACTCTGTCGGATGGCGAGCTTAGCGTCTGGCCAAAAGGCGCCTGATCGTCTCCCCCTCCTGCCTGGCGTGTTTTGCCTGCTGTATCGTTTGTGCCCGTCCTTTGAGACGGCCTGGCACTGATTGCTGACAGTGCCTGAACTGTTTATCCCACCCGTTGTTCACGATTGCTGGCGATTGCTGCATGGCGTAAGACTTCATCGGTTCATTGGGGGGATCAGGTCATCTGTACCGTAAAAGTCAAGCATCATCATCACCAGCGCGGTAACCATCACCATCACCGTCGCCAGCATCATCACTACCTCCATCATCATTTCCAGCGTCCCCACCATCACCAACCACATCGTCGTCGCAATCATACCCCGTGGGTCGTGGCCGATTTTGCTGGTAGTTGTGCGCCGGCTGACCCTTCCTCCTTCCTCTACTCCTCCCGCCTCCGCTTCCGATGAGAGGCGCTGCCGCGGTGACGCCGACGACGCCGACGCATCCGACGACGACGACGACGACGACGACGATCACGACGACGACCACGTCGACGACGACGACGACGCCGACGACGACGACGACGACGACGACGACGCCGATGACGACGACGACGACGACGACGACGACGACGACGACGACGACGACGACGCCGACGACGACGACGACGACCACGCCGACGACGACGACGTCGTCGACAACGTCGACGGCAACGACGACGGCAACGTCGACGGCGACGACGACGACGCAGGCGGCGGCGGCGACGCCGACGACGCAGGCGGCGGCGGCGGGCGTGGCGGCGGCCGGGCAGCGACCTGGCGGCGACGCGGGCGACAGGGCCAGTCGTACCAGCGGGATGTCCTGGGGCACGCCGCCGAGCACGCAGGAGCGGGGCGTGCCCCCGCGCTCGGCCCGGCGCGCTCTCCCCTCGCGGTGGCGGCGGCCTTCTTGCAGTGAGGGGCGGCTCCTCCTCCTCCTCCTCCTCCTCCCCCCTCCTCCTCCTGCCTCCTCCTCCTCCTCCTCCTCCGCTCCTACCTCCTCATCCTCCTCATCTCCTCCTCTCTTATCCTCCTCCTCCTCTCCTCATCCCTCCTCCTCCCCCTCCTCCTCCTCCTCTTCCTCCTCTTCCTCCTATTCCTTTTCCTCCTCCTCCTCCTCCTCCTCCTTCTCTTCCGCCTGCGCCGATACCGGGTGGGGGGGTCGGAACCTTTGAAGGGACCTTCCAGGGACCCCGAAATTGCACGCAAGGCGCACCTTCTTCAGACACCCGCGCATTGCCCGCCTCCCACCAAGCAGCGCCCAATGGCGGCGGAGGTGACGGCGTCGACTACGGCGATTCACAGAGGTTGCCAGGAAATCGCGAGCACTGAGCTTTGGCACCCGACCCGCCTCGATTCCCTGGGTGTGCTTCTGCGGTAGGGGAAGAAGGACGACGACGGAGAAGGATAGAGACGGGATAAGGGTGAACTCAGTGTAGGCGGAAGTGAGGAACTGTACGGGATTACCTGCCACGCGTACTTGTCGCAGCCCCTAGAGCAGGGGACAGCAGAAAGAGGACGGACCAGGGGGAGAGAATCATGGAGCAGGACAGAGATCAGCAGGAGGGGCTTAGGAACAGAAAAACAGGCGGTAGAGCCAAACTAGCGGGTCGGGCCGGCGGACCCTTACAGGGCGATCGGGTGGCCGGGCACAGGCGGCGGAGTCGAGCGGGCGGGTCGCTGAAGCGTCAGTCCTGCATGACCCGCGGGGAAGTCTCGAGCGACAGCGCGGTTTCCAGATAAACCGCAGCGAGCTCCAAAGCGAGAAAATGATTGCTGAGTGTTGGTGTGGCGGCGTTTCAATGCATCGAGAGGAAGTACAATGCGAGAGTGCCAGTCTTGTGAGTTGTTTGAGGAAGTCTCGCGCGAGAGCGCGACTTCGCAATCCATCGTGAGGAAGTATCAAGTCGAAGCCGCTATTCTTGCAAACCCGTGGCCAGGGGCGCAGTTTAGCCCCACGACTTGCGGTCATAAAAGAGAGTTCGAGCCCCAGGGAAGGCAATTCAATTGAAAAAACACAATTGGCACCAGGGTGGGAGGGTCGACAACAATCATGATTCAGAAATGCCATTTCAACAACTGGAATACTTTTCGTTATTATGCGCCCACGTGCCACTCAAGATGCAAATCCCAAACCCATCGATGCTCGCCATCTTCGTCTTCGATCAGATTCCCTATGGGTGTGAAGGCCAGGCCTGCCCCCCCCCTGGTGGTACATCGTCCTTGCCTGCCACACGTAGTTCTCGCAGCTTCTAGGACAGGGAAGGCGGGAGAGAAGGGACAACGGGGAGGGCGGGGAGAGAGAGAGAGAGAGAGAGAGAGATTAGCAGGAGTAGGGTCAGTCAGCAGTCAGGACCAGCAACAAAAAACAAGCGGCGGAACCAGACGGGCTGGTCGGGTGGGGCGGGCGGGCGAGCACAGGCAGCGGGGTCGAGTGGGCGGGTCGACGAAGCGTCAGTCCTGCATGAATCGCGCGGAACTCGTCCCAGCGATGGCGCGATTCCCAAGTCGACCGTGGGGAAGTCCAGGGCGAGACCAGGATAGCCACGCGAGAGCGCGATTCCTCGAGCGAGTTTGAGGAATTCCCGCGCGAGATCGCGTTGTTGAACACATTGTGAGAAAGTTTCAGGCGGGAGCCGTTGTTGTGGTATTTCGGGGCCAGCAACGCATTCTGAGCCCCGTGCTTTCCTTGTGTAAGAAAGCAGGGTTCGAGCCCCAGGAGGGGCACTGCCACTGAGACAGCAATGGGAACCGCGTTGTGGGGATCGACAAGAATACTTCTTATAAATGGAAGCAAATAAATATAGTACATAAGGCCACCAATCGAGGAACAAGAACAATAAGACGAGTAGGACAAGGGGTACTGGGAGGAGGTCGAGAAGGGGCGAAGCCGACCAGGACGGCGCGGACGAAGAGGAGTCGGATGGACGAGGGAACAGGAGCAGGATGAGAACGCGGAGAAGGTGGAGGTGGAGGAAGAACACCATGAGGACGTTGAGGAAACCAATTCCGGAGGGGGAGGCGGGGGGCGAGGAGGAGGAGGAGGTCGACGATGATTTCGACGAGGACGAGCACAAGGGCGGGCGAGGACGCCGAGGAGGAGGAGGAGGAGGAGGAGGAGGAGGAGGAGGAGGCGGAGTGCGAGTATCAGGACGAAGCGGGTGTGGAGGGAGGAGGAGGAGGAGGAGGAGGAGGAGGAGGAGGAGGAGGAGGAGGAGGAAGGAGGAGGAAGGAGGGGGGGCAGTAGCAAGGAGACGATGAGGCTGAGGGGGGCGAGGACGTCGACGAGAAGGAGGAGGAGGAGGCCGAGGAGGCCGATCAGTGTTCACGAGGACACGGCAGAGGAGGAGGACGCGGAGAAGGAAGAGGAGGGCGCGGAGGAGGGCACGGAGGAGGAGGAGGAGGCACGGAGGAGGAGGAGGAGGAGGAGGACGACGACGACGACGACGATGACGGGGGAGGAGGAGGTCGCGAAGGAACTGGGCGGGGAGCGGCCGCGGGAATTGATGGGAGCGGGGAGAGCGGAAGCGTAACAAGTCGCCAGCCCGCGGAGGACCAGCGCTGCTGGTGCCGCTCCGGCCCCGCCGCGCTCCCGCGCAGCGCCCTCCCCCTGTGTCTTCCTCCTCGCTGTTCTTGCCGTCCTCCTTCTTCACGATGATGGTTATGATGATGATGAGGAGGAGGATGATGATGATGGTGATGGTGATGGTGATAGTGATGATGATGATGATGATGATGATGATGATGATGATGATGATGATGATGACGATGATGATGCTGATGCTGATGCTGATGCTGATGCTGATGCTGATGCTGATGCTGATGATGATGATGATGATGATGGTGATGATGATGATGATGATGATGCTGATGATGATGATGATGATGCTGCTGATGCTGCTGATGATGATGCTAATGACGCTGATGATGATGATGCTGCTGCTGCTGCTGATGCTGAAGCTGATGGTGATGATGATGGTGATGGTGATGATGATGATGATGGTGATGATGACGACAATGATGATGGTGGTGGTGGAAGTGGTTATGCTGGTGGTGATGGTGGTGGTGATGATGGTGGTGGTGATGATGGTGGTGACGGTGGTGGCGGTGGTAACGATAATAGGACGACGACGACGACGCTGGAGCGCAGCATGACACACTGCCTCATCATCATCGTCATCGTCGTAGTCGTCGTCATCAGCATCTCGGCGCCGAGTCGACGGACGTCGCGAGGCCAAGGGGCTGCGCGGAGAAGCTGGCCATCTAGATTCGTTGCTGGCCGATGGCTAGGGAGACCAGCTTGCATGCCCTCTCCAGCAGGATGGTCGCGACCGCCTGGCCGTGCGTGCTAGAGCTTCGCCTCCACATGTGGTCATGGCCACGAGATACCTCGCCAGAGGCCCGCGCGTTACCGCCCAGAAGTGGTTCTGCACATCGGGTTCCAACGAGTCAGCCCACTCGACACCCCCCACTCGTGCGCTCTGCGAAACGCGTCCGTCCTTCCTGCCTCCTGCTCCCACTTGTTGCTCCTCATCCCCCTGCCCAGCGCAGGCTTCCAGGCCCTGTTCCGCTGGGGACCTGTCCAGCCCAGTCCTGAGCTGCCGAGGCATTGTTCTGCCCAGCCTTGGTTCCGCCCAGCCCGATGCCGCCGTCAGCCCTTCTGAAGCGGGATCTCTCCCGCAGACCTCCGCGGCGGAACCAGGACTCGACGGAACCAGGCACTATGGAACCCAGGCTTCGTCAGGACCTGGCTTCGGCGGGTCTGGGTTTCGGCGGAACCAGGCTTCGGCGGAACATGGTTTCGGCGGAACAGGACATGGGCCGAACTGGGCTCGGCGGATCAGGGCTTCGGCGGTACAGAGCTTGTACAGAGGCCTCTCCCATCCCCAGGACAGGGCAACCAGTTTAGATTGTGCTTTCCCATCTGCGAGTGGCGTTACATTGCAAACTGTAGATTCCATATGTTTAGCACGCATGTGGCATTGCAGCGGACGCGTGAGTTGTACGACCAGGGGTATTCAAGATTCGGTTTGCAGTTGTTGTAGCGAGCGTGACGGCGGGGATCTTGACGATAAGTGGAATCGTGAGGAAGTCTTTGGAAAGCCGCACGGACCGCCTTACACGGCGTAGCACAATTTAAGACACATACATAATGATAAGCCGTAATATTGCGCATCAGCACATAGCATGCATGTCTGACTGAAGGTTGTTTCAAGCTCTTTGTTCGGGTTTGGGATCCCCCGAATTGTTACTTTCGGATACACTCGGAGGCTTCCTGGGTTTGATCTGACATGTTTTAGAGGACGAGGACGAGGAGCAAGGAATAGACACAACGGGGAAGAAAGGATGAGGAGGAAGGAAGGAAGAAGGAAGGACGGGAGTGAGGAGGGAGAAGGGCGAAGGAGCAATAACGGGAGTTGCTGCAGGAGTGCAGTCCGAGATCGGATCGCCCATCGGCTGAACCCCAGCCCCGCAGCCGTCGCAGGCCCACCGCTCCGCCTCCGCCCTCCTCCTCGCCCCTCCCCTTCCTCCCCTGCATTCCCCCCTGCGTAGTGCAGCGAAGTTGTAGAACCCACACTCAGAAGCGCCAAGCCACGGGACCAGCTCTTCACGAGGCTGTGCCCGATGCGGCTGGGGACCCCGGAGCAGAACCCCAACGCCCCGGGGCCCCCCCCTTGGTGACGGGGGCGGGGGCCCCCTCGGGTGCCCCCGCCCTTTTTGTCGCGGGGGGGAAGGGAGGAACAGGGTCAGGAGGAGGAGGAGGAGGAGGAGGAGGGAGGAGGAGGAGGAGGAGGAGGAGGAGGACGACGACGAGGAGGAGGAGGAGGAAGGGAGGGGGAGGGAGGGAGGGAGGGAGGGAGGGAGGAGGGAGGAGGAGAGGAGGAGGAGGAGGAGGAGGCGGACGAGGACGAGGAGGAGGAGGAGCAGCAGGAGGAGGAGGAGGAGGAGGAGGAGAAGAAGAAGAGGGAGAGGGGGGAGGGACGGAGAGAAGAAAAATGATCTGGAGGAGAAGCGGGAGGCGCGGCAGGAGGGGGCAGCCGTCTCTGCCTGCCTGCGCGGCCGCCACTGTCCGACGCCGCGGCCGGCGGCGGCGCCCCGCGAGGTGTACTACGCGCCCGCGCTCCTGCAGAAGTGCTGCAAGACGGACGCCGCCGGCGCACTGCAGGTCCTGAGCGAGGCCCCCCGACGCCTGCTCCTGTCTCCCCAGAGCCCCTCTCGCGGTGAAAAAAGAATTCGCGACGGGAGGTTTCTCGCTATTCTCGGCTCCAGGGGGGCCCTGGCTGGGCCACGGGGCGGTCAAAAAACGATTCGGGGTGAAGAACCGGTCCCAGGGAATGGGTCCAGACATTTGGGGGTCGCGTCATGAAGAAGTCATGGACGTCGGGGGTCTGGGTCTTCCTCCCTCTAATATTCCTTCCCCCTGGCTCCTCATAGAGCGGCTCGTTTTAAAAATGGATCTCTCGCCCTAGCGCTCGCACAATCTTGGTCTTGGTCTTGGTGGGGGGTATGCACGCCCGGACGGCGGCCCCCGCCGACCTATCAAAAGACGAAGCGCACAGGCCGACACGAGATACCCGCCAGGAGGAAGGGGGAGGCGGAGCAGGAGGGGGGGGATGAGGAGGAGGGGGAGGGGGAGCAGGAGCAGGAGGGGGGGAGGAGGAGGAGGGGGAGGGGGAGCAGGGGAGGAGAGGATATCCCGTAGCGGGCCACAGGGACACCCAAACACTCGTTTGCGCAGGGTCCAAAATCGTGGGCGGTTCCCCCTTGAAAAAGCGGTTGGGATCACTGTGCGGACAACGTACACAACATAATAGCGCACCACACACACTCATGAGTACGCACTACACGCACAGTGCGTATCCCTTTACGCGACTCCCCGTCCATGCGACGTTCCCTCCCATACGGTACGCAAGCGGCCTGGGTCCTCCGAGGTTGCATCACATGCCAACAGGGTGCAAGACCCCCACCCAAAGAGGCCCGGTGCAAGACCGGACCCCGGCGCAGCGGGCGGCCCGAAGGCGAAGGCGGCACAAGCAACCAAGCGAGAACACGGGCACGCACAGCTCGCAGCTTGGCGAAATACAGGATTACGCTCGAAGCCCGCCAGAGTTCCCCCACCCACCCTCCGAGAAATGCCAGAAGAACCAAACGTTTCCAAACTGCTCGGTAGCCACTGGCGTCCCTGGTCGCCTGGCCAAAACATGTAAGGTCGACACCTTAGGACCGGCAGCGCGCCGCACAGTAACCCGCGCTCCACCTACACCAGGGTGCGGAGGTCAGGCGCCCCCCAGCGCTAACGACTAGTGTGTGGCCAGGGGAGATGCCCGGAGACATCAACCGCCCCCGGCCCAGGGACTGTCGAGTGATGCCCTCCCGCCCTGGCAGGAGACACGAGCAAGAACAAAGGGAACGAACGACCCAGGGCACAATGCGCACAGCGGACTCGGAGTCCATCCGCTGTGCACTGCAGGAGTTTGCCGTGCCGGCTCGCGCAGCATTTCTGAAAACCATGGACTAGTCTCCATCCTATGTAGCCGGCCCGTTGCCCCACGACCCGGCCGGGCGGCCTGGGCATCCATGGGTCTACATAATCACAAGCGCGCAAAACGAGGCACAGTAGCTCCTTTCCGACTCGGCGGTCTGTGGACGCGCCGGTCGAGATGGCGAGTCTCGACCCGACGCCGCGGCCCAAGGAGCAGGGCGTGGGGCGGTGAGGATCAAAAACGCGCCCTACGCTGAAGAGTCTGAGCACGAACAACCAAACCAGTACCACACAGCCCAAAAGACCCTCCCTCGCAAAACAACTATAGTTCATGGAGACTCGTGGCACGAAACACACGCACAAGCACAAACACATCACGCACAATAAAAGATTGGAAACACACCTCCGAACGCAAGCTCCTTGAACCAATACTGCATGACCCCACCAATACTGCATACCAATACTGCGCTCGCACAATCGTCTTCCAAGCGTGCAGCAGCTTCGAGGATACAGGGCGGGCTGGTTCCCAAATGATGAGTCATTCGTTTTAGCGCCTCGCGCATTCTTTTTTTCAAGCTGTCAGCAGCTTCAAAAATGGAGGGCGGGCTGTTTTCACAAAGGATCACTCGCCCCAGCAGCTTCCATGCTGGAGGTTTTTTTTTCGAAAAAGGTGTTTTGCCTGAGACTTATGTCAGTTCTCAAAGTATGAACAAACAGCTGGTCGGCAACGTTAGGCAAATCTCAGCGACTGCGCTGTTGCGTGCAGATGACCACCCTCAGCAGCGAAAATCTCGGAGGAGGTGTGGCTTAACCAGACAAGCAACATCATCGTCTTAGAGCAAACTAAGCGGCGCAGGATTTGCGAAGAACAGCAACAGTGGAGGAACCCGCTAGGGCGAGAGTACCAATTAGTACAACGGCAACGGGAAGGAAGCAGAACGTTGGCTCCTCCAACACACACACACACAGGAAGATTCCCACACGGGCCAGTGCGCTTATGGAACGGTTTTTTGAGTATTCCCGAAAGCCTTGCATGACGACAGTCGGCGTTGTTTCATGTTGTGCTCTGTCTTCGCAGCCCCTGGGCCAAGGGAAGAATAACTACCCAGCCCGATCATTGGCGTGAACTGATAGGCCTTGGGCGTTCACAAAACAGCCCTGCCTTGTTCGATTCTTTCTTTGGGGGTCTAAAAGCATTTCGTGGTAGGCCTATTGCCAGGGGGACGGCCGGTCCCTGCTCAAGAGTTAGCCACTCCCCAAATCCAATTCTGCCCCCCAGGAGCCCACGAGATTGGCGACAGTTGCGCCGTTCGCAGCCACAGGGAGCCGCGAGATCTCGGCTGGATGTGCGTGCTCCCCTACCCCGCCGTGCCTCCCAGGAGCCCACGACAGTGGCGACGGCTGCGCACTTCGCAGCCAACCAGGGAGCCGCGAGGTCTCGTCCTCCCCCTGGCCGCTGCCCATCTCAGTGATGGACCGTCCCACCCACGAGACGCAGCACCGACCACGTGGCGCATGGCATCGAACCCGGCCAACGGGATGGTAAACACTGGCGGGCTGGAACACGTGAAAGACACCTTGAGTAGAAGTGTAGAGAAACAGTAGTGCAGAAGGGGAGAATGAGAAAGACAGGCATTCGAAGGGACAGACAAATGCAAAGATGTTGGCGCTGGCTGCCTGACGGTCTCAGTCAATGTTGTTAGGAATCGAAGCGATTGGTGGCTGGACAGTGCCGTCTCCGAGGGTATTATGTTTCTTCCCGCCCCACTCCCAGTCATCCAAACCTCCTCCTCCTCCTCCTCCTCCTCTGCGCCAGTGCCAGACGGGCCCCGGCCGTCGCTTGGTAAAATCGGGTCTCAAATGCCACTTCCTCCGGCCTTACCCTTGTCTGCGCGTAAGGAACACGATGCGTCTCAAATGCAACCTCCTGCAGCGATGCATACCGCAGGTGGGGAACAAACCCGCGTCTCAAATGCAATCTCCTCCAGCATTGCCAGCTGCAGGTGAGGAGGAACGCGCGTCTCAAATGCGTCCTCCCCAGGGATGGCACCTCCCTCGGTTTCCGTATCGACTCCCGGACCCTCTGGAACTCCCGGGCTAGGCTTGTTCGCAGCGAGACGCGCGCCCGAGCGTGAGGCACGCCCTTGATCGCAAGGCACGCGCACAGAGGACAGGAGCGCCGATGGGCATGGCCTGTCCATGTACGTTCCAACACCCTGCTGAAAGATGTGGGAGGATGTTGTTTATGTTGGTGATGCAACTGCTGAAGATGATGATGAGGATGATGATGAGGATTAGGATCATGATGAGGGTGCGGATGATGATGATGGTGAGGAGGAGGAGGATGATTCAGCTTGTGATGATGACGCTGATGCTGATTTATGATGGTGATGATGATGCTGGTGCTGATACTGATGCTCATGCTGATGCTGATGCTGGTGATGATAACGACGACGATGACGATGACCATGATGACCATGATGATGCTGGTGATGATGTTGTTGATGCTGATGCTGGTGATGATGATGCTGGTGATGATGATGATGATGATTGCGATGATGATGATGATGATGATGATGATGATGATGATGATGATGATGATGATGATGATGATGGTGCTGATGATGATGATGATGATTATGATGATGATGAGGAGGAGGAGGAGGACGAGGAGGAGGATACATATGACAACGATGATGATGATGATGATGATGATGGTGATGGCGATGGTGATGATGGTGATGCTGATGCTGATGCTGATGATGATGATGGTGGTGGTGGTGGTGATGATGGTGATGGTGATGGTGATGGCGATGGTGATGGTGGTGATAAAGATGATGGTGATGGTGATGGTGGTGATAATGATGATGGTGATAGTAATGATGGTAATGTTGGGCAGCTTACTCAGGTGCGCAGGCAGCTTGCCCACCGAGGCGGGCAGGCGGTCCGCAGATCTGCCCGCGCACCGGCCTACAGACCCGCCTCCCGGGACGCAGGGCAAGAGATGGCCTGGGCGGACAGCACAAGAGTTGGTAATCCCCCCCCCCCCTCCCACCCCCTCCCCTTCCCTCCTCCTCCTTCCTCCTCCTCCTCCTCCTTCCTCCTCCTCCTCCCTCCTCCCCCCTCCTCCCCCTCCCCCCATCCCTCCCCCTCCCCTTCTTCCTCGCCCTCCTCCCCCCTCCCTCCCTCGCCCGTCTTGCTGCTCCTGTCACATTGCACAACCTGTCGCCTGTGGGTGAAGAAGAGGGCGACCACGCGGCGTTCGGCCGATGCTGCGCGAGATTCTTCGGCTGACCTCCAGGGAGGCATTGAAAGAGACAACATAAATAAAGGTTTTGTCGAAACGGCGCTGGCTGGTGGCTGGACAGTGCGACCTCATGCTCTGGATGCTGTAATGGGTCCGAGACGGCCGGGATGAGGGCTAGGAGGGAGGATGTGGAAGAGTGAAGAACGTGGTGATGAAAAAGATGAGCGCTGGATGCGTCTAGAAATGCAGCGGTTTTGTAGCAACCGCGCTGGTTGCTCGCGGCAATCTACGCGAGCGGTGGCTGAACAGTGACCTTTCAGGGATCTCTTCCTCCTCCTCCTCCTCCTCCTCCTCCGATTTCTCATCCAAGAAGTGGAATCATAGAAACCGTGCCCTCGCTAAGGGTATTTTAGATAATGCCCTTCACCGAGGGTCAGCGATCTCCCTT